TCTCATAATAAATTGTCCATGTAATTGAATAATATTAGGCAATAGAAAAGATGAGTACTGATGCATGTGTTAATATGAATAAAATCCCAGACGTTACGCTACATGAAAGGAAAGGCCCTCCCATTGATCGTCGATTTGCTCGAGCGGGCCCAGTAACGTCTCCATTGGAGACTTTGTTGTTACTGTGTCTGGCATATCAATACTCTCGGTAGCTTGCCGGGCTCTCCGAGAGGGGCGGAGGAATCGAACTCGGGTCGGCCATGTTGGCCGCTTGTAAGGCGAACGCCCTACCCGCTGTGCTATCGCTCCAGCCCATGAAAGGAACCAGAAACAAAAAATAGCCACATATTAGACTGGAGAAAGTTAAAGGTTTAAGGCACTTTCCTTGCATATGGTTGGCCACAGTTGATCATTGGCACCACTCATGGTCCTTAAGTACTACCAGAAGTGCCCATGAGCACAGACCCAGGAGTAACCCCTGAGCACAGCTGTGTGTGACTCAACTCCCCCTACCAAAATGGCTATGTAATGTATAGTTTTAGCTATAGTACAGTAGCTAGATATGGTATACAGTATGTAATTTATAAGTACATAGTTATATAGTAAGTAGTATATAGTATCATGTCATATGCAAAGTGTGAGAGTTTCACTTTTTATTTTCTTCTCTGTATGCCTTTCATATCCTTCTTGCCCAATTTCTATGGATAGGAATTCCAGTACTATATAGATGAGAGGGGCAGCTTTGTCTTGTGCCCTATCCTTAGAAGGAAGGATTTCAGCTTTTCACCACTGAGTAAGATGTTTGCCTTGGGCTTGTGGTAAATGGCTTTAACTGTTGAGGAAAATTCCTTCAACCCCAACTTTATTGAGATTTTTTGTCATGAATGGGTTTGGATCTTGTCAAATGCTTTCTCTGCAGTTATTGAAATAATAAATGATTTGTATTTTCCTTGTGTTGGCATTGTGTATTACATTAATTTATTTGCATGTACTAAATCATCTATTCTGTGTCCCTGGTATGAACCCTACTTGGTTGGTCATAATGATCTTTCGGATGTATTGTTTGCTACATTGGTTTGCTAATATTTTGTTTACGGTCTTCGCATCAGTGTTAATCATTGGTATAGGTCTGTAGTTTTCTTTTTTTTTTTTGTGATGTTTCTGTTTTTGCTGGATGGAGTGATAGCACCGCGTTAGGGCATTTGCCTTGCATGTGCTGGCCCGGCTGACCCAGGTTTGATTCCTCCACTCCTCTCGGAGAGCCCGGCAAGCTAGCAAGAGTATTTTGCCCACATGGCAAAGCCTGGCAAGCTACCCGTGATGTATTCAATTTGCCAAACACAGTAACAACAAGTCTCACAATGGAGATGTTACTGGTGCCTGCTCGAGCAATCGATGAACAATGGGAAGTCAGTGCTACAGTGCTCTGTTTTTGCTACCAGGGTAATGTCTGCCTCATTATAGCTGTTCAGTAAGATTTCTGTTTCTTCAACTTTCTGAAAGAGCCAGAAAAGGACTGGCAGTAGATGTTCTTTAAAGGTTGGAAAGAATTCACTAGGAAACCTACCTGGGACAGACATTAGATTACCATTTCAATTTCCTTGATAGAATCTAAGGGCCTGTTCAGTTGCTGTTTTCTCTTGACCTTGACGACTATAGGAGTCCAAAAAGGTATCCATTTCTTCTGGGGTCTTCAGTTTCATGGCATAAAGATTTTCCTGATGATCCTTTGAATTTCTGTGGTAGCAGTTGTAATATCTCCTGTTTAATTTCTGTTTTAGCTTACTAGAGTTTTCTCTCTTTTTCTTTTTTAGTCTTTTTAATGGTTTATTAATCATGTTTATTCTTTAAAATAACTAAGTCTTGGTTTTGTTGATATTTTGAATTTTTAGTTTATTTTTGATTAATTTATCCTCTAAGTTTTATTTCCTTCCTTCTGATAATTTTGAATTCCTTTTTGTTGATCCTTTTCTAGCTGCTTAACTTGCGCTATTGGTTATGTGGGCTTTACCTTGCTTCCCAACAAATTCTTGCACAGCAACTGTCTTTTCTTGTAACACTGCTTTTGCTCTCTCCCATATGTTCTGGTAATTTGTATCTTTATTCTCATCTGTACCAATGAATAGATCATTTAGGAAAAAATCTCATTAAGGAAACAATGACCCTGAAGGAAGAAATAGAAAACATGGTCCTAGTAGACATATATAGGACACTTCACCACCAAAATGTGGAATACACATTCTTTGCCAGTGCTGCAAGCAGGCACTGAAACATGGGACTTATATTTTAGAATTTCTTTCCAACATATGTATGTATAAGTGCACTCCTATATGTCTTTCTCTTGGCTATGAATGAGAACTTGAAAATAAAACTTTATTTTCCAGCAGGAAAATAAAAGACACCAAACCAGTGTAAATGTATATTGTTAAATTATAAAATAGTAAATTACTGTTCTAGATTTGGATTATTGATGATTTTTTAAATTTTTTGATTAAATTTTACTTCTTTGTTTTATGTAGGACTACTGCTATTTATTCAGCCACTGATTAGCTGATTGAATTGGGCATGAACTCCACCTTACTTTATTTTCATAATTTTATTTATTTTTTCTTCTTACATTTATTTATTGAATCACTGTGGGAAAAGTCACAAAGCTTTCAGGTTTAAGTCTCGGTCCTACAATGATCAAAGACCTCTCCCTTCACCAGTACTCATTTTTCACCACCAAGAACCCCAATATACCCCCCTCCTACCCCTCCCAATGCCTGTGAGGCAGATGGTTTCTACTTAACTCTTCTTTGCATAGATTACGTTCATTGTTTTGACAAAAGATGCACCATTATTGTTTAGAATTTCCCCCCCCCCCAACAATCAGAATTGCTGAAAAGGCATTGTGAAATACTTTGTTTTCTATAGCTGGTATGAGACTCATATAATGTCATATAATGATTTTGGATTTCTGCAAAGAGCCAGATCATTACGAGATTGGTTTCTGTGCGTCTGGTGTTATGGCTGTGCCAGAGAGCCACGTGTGGGAGGCAACTCGTGACCTCGGTAGGGTATGAAGGACGAGCCGGTACTGCCCCCCTTCCCATGAAACTGTAGTTGCCCCGTCACCACCGGCTCATACCTGGCTTTCCTATAAGCTCTGAGGCAGCGGCCACCCTGCTGCTGGTGGGGGGGGGGGGGTGGAAGGGAGCAACACCCTTTCCCTCCTGGAAAGGCATGGCGCCTTAGTTTAACGCATGGTCCATTCACTTTTCTGCCACAAGCTGCCGGGCTCTGGACTAAGTCCTTTTGCCTCTGGAGCCATAGCCATGCTGGAGAGCTGCTCGCGGGGGGCAACTTATGACCTCGGTAGGGCGTGAAGGATGAGCTTGTACTGCCCCCCTTCCCATGAGACTGCAGTTGCCCCGTCACTGCTGGCTCATACCTGGCTTTCCAATAAGCTCTGAGGCTGCAGCCACCTTGCTGCCTGGGGTCAGGATTGGGGAAAGGTGGAAGGAGCAACACCCTTTTCTTCCGGGGAGGCATGGCACTGTAGTTTAACGCTTGGTCCATTCACTTTTCTGCCCCAAGCTGTTGGGCTCTAGACTAAGTCCTTTTGCCTCTGGAGCCATGGCCAAATTTGACTTCTTGAATGGGATAAAAAGTTTCTCCTTGATAAAGAATATTTCCATATCATTCTGTATGCATTTTCCTTTGTAGCATAGGATAGAATGACCATTAAAATACATTGAAAACGCTGAACAAAAAAGTCTTATGATAGTCAATAAGTTCTAGAGGAAGAGGTGAAAAAGAAAAAATACAGTGATGAAAAAAAAGGAAATCACTGAAATGTCAATAAAATTATTTCCAACATCTTTGAACTTTGTTGTGGCCCAAATAGTGTTTAGGCTCTGTATTTGTAGCTGCTAAGGATTAATATGTAAAAAAAAAACATTTCCTATGCCTGGCTTCTGTATAGGACTTTTGAAAATTAATGGTACAAATACAAGGTACAAATACAAGCAGTGTCATTAATATAGTGGGCAATCAGAAGTGTGTTTTTCCTGACCAAGAAATGGTTTCTATAAAATTAAAAGGAACATTCAGTGCTTCTGGTTATGTATATGAGTCTATTTTTTCTCAATTCTACTATTGCATAAAGAATTATAGCCTTCTAACATTTTTGCTCTTTACGGTGGCTTTTTTCTATGCACTGTGGTATACTGCACTTGATTATAGGATCAAATCAGAGTTGATGTACTCAAATATCCATTGATGTGATTAATGGTCTTCGAATCATACTTTTATTCTCTAGATTAGCTCTATTTCCTGTAGCTTTCACATTTTTGAAAGATATCTTGAATTATCCTTTATAGGGGGCCTTGAAATCCTTGTTGAGTGTTTTTAGTCTATAATTTGCATGATTATTTTCATTTTCCTTCATTTCTTTTGCTTCAAGGAAATGAGATTTCGATCTTCTTTTGAACTCTTTGAGTACTATTCTGTAGTAAGTGGTCAACCTCATAATATTTTTACAACCTAAAATACTTACATGTACATAACATAACTTACATGTATATAGGAATTAATTTCTCCTATATACATAACATGTTGTATTCCTCCAACACTAGATCCAGAATTCTTCCCATAAGTTTCCGCTAGTGTGCTTTTAAAACATTTTCCTCAGAAGTAAAATAAGACACTCTCATTCTATAAATAACAGGGAAGTATAATACAAAATGATTGTATAGAAACTGTAATTATCATTCATTGTTTTACAGTTGAAGTGGTCATGGCTGGTAAACACAATCTTGAATTTAAAAATGGTGACATATTGTTGCCCTTAAATATTTTTTAAGTTTGCCTTTAAATATTTTTTAGGATTATTAGCATATTTGGCTCCTTATTGACTTTTTTAAAGATCATTTGTCTTTTGCCAATGATTTTCTGAATTTTAAATTAAGAACTCCTACATTTAGTGATTGCTTTAATGTTTGCTTTGTTTCCAACAGTGCCCTTAAAGATAGCCGTTTTCCCCCAATGACAAGGGATGAGCTGCCACGGCTGTTCTGCTCTGTTTCTCTGCTCACTAACTTTGAAGATGTCTGTGATTATTTGGACTGGGAGGTAAGATAATAGAAAATTTTAAAAGAAAAATGAAGGTAAATCTCGAGTGGTTTTTAAAATTATACCCAGAAAATAACTCTTTCAACCCATTCTCTATTGTAATGGAAGTGAAGCATGAAATGAATAAATAAGCCTCACTGTAAATTAATAATAATGATAATGAAGGGTTTTTAAAAGGCAAAATGCCATTTGTCCTTTTAAGCTCTAATCTGAATTTGTTGTTCATTTTAATTCTGTTTATCATAGAACCTCATATAAGTTGTTCCTACATATTAGGAAATACTGCTTAGAATTAATTTCTCCTTTTATGTCATCCCAGTAAACTCTGGTGTGACTGCAGTTAGGAGATCAGACCAGAGGTTATATTCCAGAAACAAGGAACCAGAAGTTAGAATAATATGCTGGTTGTTCAAGTCATGGATAATGACAGGGTATTCAGTTAGCTAGAGTTGAATACTGCTATTTGTTCTTGGCTACCTTAATTATGAAATTAACATGCTAACATTATTAAAATTATATTTCAGCTGTTTCTTATAATTTCCATCATCAGAGTAGCCTTTATTGGTTACATTGTTATTCTTCACTTTGTGGGGTTGTACTCCTGAGAAAGTTCAGAGGCCCCTCATGCCTTGCTTTGGTGGTGGGAGGAGATAGTTCACTCCATGTTTCTGAAATTGTATTCACCATTGCAAACACGTTCACATTACTGAATGCCGATTATATTCAAGGCACTGTACTATCTTTACAAAAATGGTAAAAATTGGTCCATACCATAAGACATCTTCTTAACAGCAAAGAGAAGTATGTGCAAAGCATAAACAAACTATTGCTATAAAATTGAATGGATCTGTGGGATAAACATAGCATCCCTTCATAATGGACACACATAAATGGAATGACTGTATCATTATGCTTTAATTCTACTGGGGTTTTTGGTTCTCCCAAATGGTGCTCAGGGCTTTCAAGTTTTCATCCAACTAATTGGCAGTTCAATAGGAGGCCTGAAAATATAGTGCAGGAAGGACACTGTGCTGCCAGGAATCACCAGAGCCACCCCAGTGGTGCTCAGAGTCATTGGGGATATACCTAGTAGTGCTTGGGAGCCTCTATGATCAGGTTATACCTGATCAATGTTTAGGGGGCCATGTGACGTCAGGGATTGAACCAGGGTCAATGCATGCAAAGCATATACTATCTTAGATGGATGCTCCCCTTATATATTTCACTGTCCCTCCTCTTTTTTTTTTTAAGAATAACTACCCACCATGATGACTGATATGTTTTGTCATGTGGCTGAACACTGTTCTGACATTTTATTGAATGAGAATTTTTGCCTTTGTCCTGATTCTTTGAAGACTTCACATAATATATTCCAGTGCAATTCCATTTTCACATACAGAAAAAGATATTTTTAAAGTTATTATCTTTAAAATCTATATATTGTTTTTATGCCAGAGATATTTAAAAATTTCTGCAGAGAATAGGATGAAAGAGTTCCTTCTGGGTATTTTTTGAGTATTTGAGGGGTACTTTGAATATTTGAGGGATATTTTTTGAGCATTTGAGTATTTTTGATTTTTTTGTAAAGGAAAAAATGAAATTGATTGTATTTATCCTAGCAAATTTGGAATGTTTAAAACCTGTAAAAACTTCCTGTTTTCTATAAGTATATTGTTATTAGAATTTTCAAGCTTACCCATATTATAGAAACGATTCAGTACTTTATTTTTAAACCATTCCAAATAATATCTCATACTTCTTAAAAATATTATAGTTTACATGATTCTTTTACTGTCTAAGGCTACAGCTTCCTCTTCTCCAGCTAGAATTTGATTTCTGCTTTCTAAGATTTAAGGTACTTTGTGTGTATGTAGTAGTGAGAGTGAGAGAGAGAATAGGTCAAAAAGCTTGAATCTAAGAGATAACCATGCTCAGGACACTACTATTACACCCACCAAGTTGAAAGTACAGCTCTTGTGGGTATGTGTGTATATGCATGTGAAGATATTCATAAATGTATATTGCTTAAAAGTGTGTGCGTGTTTTGAGGTAAGAAAATATGGGAGATCCCAAGATTTTTTAAACAGAGATAAGTAATCACAGAGTACATTATCTTTGACTTACTTAAACACTGTCTGCAGCTAAAATTAACCTTAATAATTCCATTTGGGCTCTATTGTTCATGAGAGCTATGAGATTTCTTTTAGGGGAGTATGATGGGATGCATTTTAGGTTGGTTATATGTACTCTTTCAGGGCATATTTATCCTTTCTGATCACTTCTACCTACTTGAATTTCTAGAAAAATCTTTCTTTTACTTGATATTATATGTAACATATTCCTCAAAACTTAAATATGAGTGCATATTTAGTGTTATTTTCCTGACAAAACAATAACATAAATATTCTCATATTTTTGTTCTTTAAATGTATAAACATTTGAAAATGAACTAGAATTGATAGAGTGGCTGTGCTAAGAGAAAAAGACTGTCCTTTTCAGTTAATTGCAATTTAAAATATTTAGCTTAAAAGAACATTTTCCCAAAGATTAGTATAAAATTTCAATTCAAGTATTATACTGTGATTTGTACTTTAAGAAATATACTATAGTCAGTGATTGAAAATGGAGTGGTATTATTATAGGAGTTATTTTTCTTTGTTTTTGTTCCCTTTTTGCCACTGCAGCAGTGCTCAGGGGCTTGAGGGTGGTGATACTCAGCGAAACCTGCAAGCAGGGCCCAAGGATATAGTGCTCCTTGGTCCAAGGGGGGCCAGAGAATACCAGAGTCACACTGGCAATGCTTCAGTGACTCCTGGGCGACACCATCAATGCTCAGGAGACCATGTGGTGCCAGAGATTGAACCTGACAAGGCATGCACTATAACCCCTGTACTGTCTTACCTGGCCCCAGGAATTAATGCTCTTAATGTTTCTGAGGAAACTCTACTACTTTAAACTCAGAATGTCTGGGAAAAAATGAAAAACTTTTGGTTTTTAACATATGTATTTATATGTATATATTTGTCCAATTCCTCTCCTAGGAATAGATCCAAAAGAAAAGAGTACATGTTGAGACAAAAATTTGTACACACATAAAAAAAATGGTACATAAATGCTCATAGGAGCACTATTCAGAATAGCCAAAAAATGGAAAATTTCAAATTTTTATCAGCATATGAATGAATAAACAAAACATGGTAAATCCATGAAATTAAGTACTTTTCAGCCATAAAAAGAAATGAAATGTCAAGACAAGCTGCAACACAAATTAACCTTGAAAACTATGCCAAGAGAAAAAAACCAATCACAAAAGGACACACGCTGTATGATTCTATTTAAATCAATTTAAATATCAAGAAATGGGTGTACCTGTAGAGAAAGGCAGCATATTAGTAGTTGCCATGGTTTTGGAGGGAGAGAGAGAGGGTGAACGTGAAGTGACTGCTTAATGGGTATGTGATTTCCATTTGGGGCGATAATAAATTCTGGGACTAGATAGTGTGGTATTGTACTACATTGTTAATGTCCTTAACACCACTACATTGTACACTTTTAGGTGGTAAATTTTAAGGGTATTTTGCTACCATAAAAACATATTCGTATATTTAAAACTATCATATATATAATAGTAGAATAATTTTAATTTATTGGAAAAACTCAAAGAAATGCAAACCATTCATAATTATACCACTCAGATAATCATTTTTAACATTTTTGAATATCCCTTTCAGTTATTTTTGTGTCTTTGTGTCAGATCTGCAAATTTGCTTATGTAATAGGTAATTATGCATTCACTATTAAAAAGAGATTATTATCACTATTAAAAAGATTTGGGAAAATCTTTGCTTATGGTTTATCTTGGTGTACAAGCTAATTATATTAGACATATCTTCATGAGGAGTCGGTTTATGTTGGAAAAATATACATTTCACTTTGGGAAATTTCATTCTGTCAAAGAAGTATAACTTCCAGAATGAAGTATCCTGGGACAGAGCCATAGTACAGCAGACTGGGTGATTGCCTTGCACACTACGGACCAGCTTTGATTCCTGGTACCACATAAGGTCCTCTAAAACTCGCCAGAAGTGAGCACAGAGCCAGGAATAAGCCCTGAGTACAGCCAAATGTGCCCACTGCAAAAACAAACAAAAAAACTGAAGCTTCCTATTTACTGTAAGTTTCTGATTTTTAACTTTTTTTGTCTCACCTGGTGCTGCACAGTGGTTACTCCGGGCTCTGGACTGAGGAATTACTCTTGACGGTGCTCAGGGGACCATATGGGATGCTGGGAATGGAACCTGGGTTGCCCAAGTGCAAGGAAAATGCCCTACCCGTTGTGCTGTAGCTCCAGCCCCAAGTTTCTGATTTTTAACCTGAAATGGGAAGTGCTGTATGTTTATGCCTTAGAGGGAAAGAAATTAATGATTATAGAATTTTAATAGAAATTTTTTAAGTTGAAAATAATTAGTATGTTTTATTTAAGCAAAGGTCTCTAATACAAGACTTCTGTGGTGAAGATAAACTTGACACTGGTGAAATGTGTGTTACTATAGCAGAATAACTAATTTTAGAGGAATGAAAATATCACATCAAAGCAGGGAGAAGGAAAAATCAAGAGGTGCCAAAGCATGGAGATGGGTAACTTCAATAACAAAAGCGATATGTCTATGGTCATGAAGATGAGGAATATCAGTAGTTATTGACACTGGTTTTCAGATGATAAAGAACAAATGAACTGGCTACTTTCAGACTCTCCTCTTCATCCAAGATTTTAAACTGAGCCTGTTTGAAACTATCTTTTGGTTTCTTACTTTACAAGGAAAATTGGATTAACATCAATCTTTATCTTTTTTTTTTTTTTTGGTGGGGGAGGTTAGACCCAGCCCGGCAATGTTAAGGTCTTACTCCTGGCTCTATGCTCAGAAATTACTCATGGTGGTGCTTGGGGGACCATATGGGGTGCCAGGAGTCAGCCGCATGCAAGTGAAGCACCCTCTACA